ACGAGGTGCCTTCGTCTCATCGGGTTCAAGAAGGGTGAGAGAACAGAGGGATGAAATAAGGGCGTGAAGACAACGAACGCAAGGTTGGAAAATGTGAAGTCAGCCGCGACGAAAAGCAATTGATAAAACAATAAAAAAGAATTAAAAGATAAATTCTCGTCATGCAAAATGAAAATATAACACATTTATTTTAGATGATACAAATGTATAATGATGCTTTCTCAGCAAGTCTAACATAATAACATAAGTTCTATATAAGATAATAAGCTATGTTTTCTAAATTATTTTGCACGTGTAAGCAATACTCTCTATTATCTTATATGTTAAATACGTAATATGTTAAATATGTTAAATATGTATTTAACAATTTGATTTGCATATTTTTAATGCGCAAAATTAATTATATCTACATTATTTTTCTTTATAAATATCTCATATATTAATCATATCTTTTATATTTATATTTTATTTATGCAAAAGTTTATGTTTTACTTTTTATTATATAGTTAGAGATACGGAAAGTTAAATATCGAGTTATTTAATAAATAAAAAAACAAAAATGTTATGTTTTAGAATTTAAAAAATATATATAAACTTAATATTGAGTTTCAGAAATACCTGAGAAGAAAAAGAAAAGAGAGGAATATCTTTCTAATATTGCCGAAACACAGAAAACTGTTTAAAAATGTTATTTGTTAAATTGCCAAAAGTTGCACTTCGAGAATTGCACATCGCGAAATGAGGTTGAGGCCAGTCCAATAAGAACATTTGACTTAATTTTCATTCAGAGCATTCCTCGCCGGCAGGAATTTCAAGCCATTAAGCAACTCGCGCTATCTTTCGGCGGGTTTGCCGTGCGTAACATAAAGAGCATGTCTACAACTGCGGTCTACGCGATAGTTAGACTGTACGCACCCTTATTCACACACAACCATCCACTTTCTTCTGCACCGCTACTACCCTTTTTGAACGAGACTTCCTTCTCAACACGACTCACAACCGAAACCCTCCCGCCACTCCGTATCCGATGCCAAACCGCCTACCAACCTCTCTTCTCCTCTTCTCATCTCGTCCTCGTGTCAGAATTATTCCGTATAATTATATTCGTTTCGGAACGACACCCCCGGGACTCGAAATTGAAATTAAGCTTTCTTGCTTTTACGCGAAAAGGAGAGAGAGAGAGAGGGAAAGAATGTGGAGGATAGAAAGAGATGAACGGATACGAAGACGAAGAGATCGTGCAGCAAGAGCGGTGGGAGAGATTTCTCTCGCGTCTCTCTGCGACGAGCCGACTACGGTTTTCTGTAGCCGCCAGCTAAGGTTCCACTCCCTGCCCTTAGCTCCTGTTTTTCCGCTTGCCCTACCCCCAAATCCGCACGTCTTAATCTTCCCTGGAATTTCGGCGTTCTCCCTCCGGCTATGCAAAGGACTTTACCGAGGGGTCGACCGTTCGTCATGCTCTTCTACGTATCCAGAAATAAGACGTCTATATTACGCGCCCAATTTTGTATTTTCCGCCGTGAATTCTGATCGCGCGATTAGCGGTTTGATAGACTTATTTACGTTTTCATAAACATACATATTATCTGAGTTTTACATTTAGAGTAAATTAATTTTGTAATAAATTTTACATTTATATTGCTTATGGTTGTCTTATTCAGTCAGTAATATTTATGAGAGTTATTAAAATTACTTTATCTGTTAAGATCTATTATATAATTGATTCTAGTGAGTTGCATAATATTAAACCTCATAGAAACAAACATTTTAAGTATTCAGAGAGATCATATTCTTTAATATCCATCAAATGAGTAACGAGTTTGTCTTATTATTATTTTGTACAACCGTCTGTTTTTTAATCAATGATCGATTCAAGCGTTTGCTTGAAAGAGATCGCTGGACCTTGTGAGATGAACGAATACGCTCAAACACTTTACAAACTTTCTGTTGTAGTGGTTTCCTTATCCTTCTTTCGACAGTCTTCTCTTTTGATTGCCTCGCTTCCTTCGGTCGGCCCCTAGCAAAACACATTTAAGCTCGCAATTATTTAAGGCACGTTTTCATAAACATACATATTATCTGAGTTTTACATTTAGAGTAAATTAATTTTGTAATAAATTTTACATTTATATTGCTTATGGTTGTCTTATTCAGTCAGTAATATTTATGAGAGTTATTAAAATTACTTTATCTGTTAAGATCTATTATATAATTGATTCTAGTGAGTTGCATAATATTAAACCTCATAGAAACAAACATTTTAAGTATTCAGAGAGATCATATTCTTTAATATCCATCAAATGAGTAACGAGTTTGTCTTATTATTATTTTGTACAACCGTCTGTTTTTTAATCAATGATCGATTCAAGCGTTTGCTTGAAAGAGATCGCTGGACCTTGTGAGATGAACGAATACGCTCAAACACTTTACAAACTTTCTGTTGTAGTGGTTTCCTTATCCTTCTTTCGACAGTCTTCTCTTTTGATTGCCTCGCTTCCTTCGGTCGGCCCCTAGCAAAACACATTTAAGCTCGCAATTATTTAAGGTAGTTCACGGTTTCATGCCGCAAAACAAGACCGCGGAGACGGAAACTAGTACCGCGGGAAACTGGCGACTGTTGCTGTTGCTTCTTGCTGAACCTATTTTATCCTGGTATATTGTTGCATGCTGTACTAATGTCATGCGATTATGAAAGATGGAATGCTATAGCTTTAAATGCATTTCAACGATACCTTAAGTTTATTACATTTTTTATCATGTATCTTTTAATACATTTATCGCGAGGGATTAAATATATTACAAACATAAAAAAAATTTTCTGCTATTGAAGATTGTATAATTTAGCTTTCTTTTATTAAACAGTAATTATAATGTAATAGTAATTATAATGATACTTAATTTATAAAATAATTTTATTTGTTAATTGTTTTATATTATAATTCTAGAATATATAATTTGTAAAACAATTTATATACTAATTATGTTGTGTAATAATTATGTAATAATCA